TGTGTGTGTGTGTGTGTGTGTGTGTGTGTGTGTGTGTGTGTGTGTACCTGGTGTCAGGGTTAAGGGAAAGAACAGATGGGCAGCATATGGGAAGTTAACACAGACGTATTCGCTTTCTGTTAATCAGAAAGATGGAGAAAAAGGAGCTGCTGGGAAAGATGGCACTTGCTTGGTTGAGAGACAAAGTGACTTTCCTTGAACTTGAAGTGAACTCAGGAACCAGTGTGTATGCACTCAGGAACCTCTTACCAGACGTTTTGGTAATGCGAAAAAAAAGCTCTAACAAAACTTCACAAGCATGCACGTGTCCATCCATTCATCATCCCCTTTTCCTTCTCCTTCCAACATTCCCCTCTTCTCCATCTCCCTGGATGCCTTGGGCTCGGTGTCACCCGGAGAGATATGCCATCCATTATCTGACATTCCAGTCGGCTCTGGACAGCCTACCTCTGCTCCTCTCGTGGCTCTGTTTGCTAAAGGATCAGGCCTCATTCTCGCAAAGGCGGCTTTGCCTCTGGAAGATCTCAGCACCATAATCGGATGATTGATCCAGCTTGATGGCAGTGGTTCAGGGAAACCTGAGTCTTCACTGCCCATTCTTTCTGCCATAGCGCGTTTCACAGTCGAGTTAATTTTGATCAATACTGCTACATCTCAGTCATTTCATTTCCAGCTGCAATGCTGTATTTGATTTTTGTTCCCACTAAAACTCAATAAATCCAATCACATTTTTACACAGCACATTTACAGTGCAGCTAGATTTGGGCTGTCAATCCGTACATCTCTCTGTGGCTTTAGTCTTCTTTGTTTTTGTTTTGTTTTTTTCCCCAGGTTATCGAAGTTCTCGGGTTTCTAGTTTTCTCTGGTATTTGGCACAAACGAGGCAACGCATAAATTTTGCTCTTGTTGTGATTTAGCAACCTGTTTAAATTTAATCAAACTGATGCCTCCCTCTTAATCAAATTTAAAGCCCTTTGGGTGCCAAAAACCCTGACGTAGCTCTCCAAGGTAAATGGATCTATATGCAGCTGACCCTCTGGTGTTTGCCAGTGCTTCATTTCCAGAGGCTCAGGGCGGACAGGCGATGCCATGCGGGGACGCTGCAGTGCAGGAACTTAGGAATGCACACACGTGTCACAGCAGCTGTTAGCAGCTGAAGCAAGACCGCTGCCAAAGCAGAGTGTCTGCACAGCGCATGTACCTGGATGTACCTGTGAGCAGTACCTGGATGCTTTTAATGTACAGTGTAATTCAAAGTTTGATCCCAAAGAATAAATCATATGATGGAACACAGACTTTAAATAGATGGAGGCAATCAGTGCAATCAAAGCCAGGATAGTGTTGGTTCTAAGTTAGCCAATCACTCGCTTCTCTTTTCCGTGTGACAGGAAGTTGTAAACAACCAAGTCCTATAAAGTCGGACAAGTGCAGTTCGGCAGTATTTAAAAAATGAAAGTGAATGATCGTACATGTGATGCGTCAGAATAAACTGGCACATGACCAGTCATAGCTTCACTTTGCAAACTAATCTGACGTGTTTGTGTTTTAGCAACATTTGAAATCCATTAATCACACTGAAGAATGCGATTCTTAGTTTTAAATGGCTCTTAAATGCACACGGTATTTTGTGCGGACAGTGGTTGATCCTGCACCTGAAGGAAATCGGTCACCGTTCCACATACCTACATGCATACATACACGGTGCCACGGTTGGTGTTGCATCCAAATTCATGTTCTTCTTTTTTCCCGACCTTTGACCTTGCAGCCTTCTAGAGGAATGCTGCTCTACAAAGGTATGCAGCAGGAGGGCAGAGTGGAAGCCGGTATATAAGTACCAAAACCGATTCCCACCCACCCACACTCATCACACGCAGACACAAACGCACCACGCTCCACACATTTATTCAATTGATTTTCTTAGCCGCAATAGCTTTCAATTGGAGTCACTCTGGTCCACTTCCATGGCCAGGCGCTGATGAAAGGAGCCATTCACTGCTACATTATCCACTGAGTTTTCAGGGCTGCTGACAATAATCCAGGGAGAGGACAGTGAAAGGCTATTACGGCTCCGCAGTTGAAAAAAGTTGATGTTGGGAGGAATTCTGCAGCAGTGCTTTGCTTTGTAGAGGAATACGTCAAACTGGGGATTATTATTATAATTTTTTTTGTTCTTCGTGACTTGAGGAGTTCAAAATAAAGTTCCCGATTCTGTTAAATGGTAAGCATGTGTCATGCCCCACGGTTTTTCAGGTGTGAGCTTTTTCCGTTGTGTTATGTGACAAAACAAGGGCTGAAGAATCATTTTAACACACCTCATACTTTTGCATTTGTCTCTGTGCAGTAGCATGCATAGTTTGTGTGTGTGTGTGTAGGCAAGCAGTGAATCAACCGTGTAAGTACTGTAATTGCTCTCTGTTTCACTATCAAGCAGATTATCCTGCAGAAACCAAACGTATAGTGTCATCTAATGTCAGTGGAGTGAATTGCTGAAAGTACATCATTATTATCATTGAGTGTTCCATTAAAGTCTGACTGAGCATGTCCTTTTTTCTTTTTTTTATTTATTTTTTCCCCTTCGTTGAAGCCTTTCTCCGGCTAACTGCAGCGTCATCATCCCCCCCATTTAATACTTAACCAGCTTTGTTGACTCGTATTGACTTTGTACTTTAGCTACTTCACTGGCAGCTGCCGCTCAAGGTCACCCGGGGGACTTGAAAACCCCGACGAGAGAGGGAGGGCAGCGACGAGGAGAGGTAGAGGGAAAGATTTACAGAACGAGAATGTCAAGAGGAGCTACAGGAAACGCGTCCGTGTTTGCAAATGCCCGTGCTCGAAACGGCGCAAGGGGAAGAAGATGAGCAAGTGGGTGTGATATCGAGTGATAATAATGGCAGCAATGTCGGAATGAAAGAAACGGAGAGTCCAGAAAATTGCGCGTGTAGTGGGATTTTTCCCATTAGGAGTCAATGACGGTAACATCAGCCAGGCACTGTGGCATTTTCATTTCCACAACTGTGTCATCAGCAGAAATTTTTCCCACTTGAGAAAATTATCTTGGAAGCATGAGAGGCTGAGAGGGAGAAATGGGGAGAGAGGCCGGCCTCTGGCCCTCTTGCATCCCCCTCCCCACCCTTGTTGTCTCTGTTTTACTTTCCCTTCTTACCTTCTCTCCTTTTGCTCTGGTTATCTTCATTTTTCTCTTTCTCCCCCCTCTTCTGCTTCTGTCTTCGAGCAACACTGAACTGAAGCAATGATGTGATTTGTCTCCCTGCCACAGTTTCATTTTCATAGGATATTTTTCCCCTTCTTCGTCTTTTTTTTTTTTAAATTCAAAACAACGTGGCGTCTGACACATTGTTGACAGAGCGCCACAGAGTGAGAGACAGTAGCTGATCTGGGCCAAGTGAAGAAAACCAGCAACATTTCCTTTCCACCTTATCTCGGTTAAACACAGGTTTTTAAAAAAAACAAAAAAACAAAAACGAGAGAACAAAAATTGTGAGTGGGAATAACGACATTCACCTGAATGTCAGCTCGGCGGCGTCGCCTGATAGCGGCCTCCTGTTGGAGAGCGGAGCGAGTAGCAGACACAGTCGTGTTGCTTACCTCGGTGTTTGGCAGGAGAGGGTGTCACACTCCCCGGGTTGCCATTGTTTGTTTTTCTGTAGTCAGATTAATAAATCATGAATATTTCATGATTGCCTGCTCTCTCTTAGATAAAGTACTCGGCTCGTGATGGGGAATGTTAATGATGTGGAGAATAATTAGTCTGAATGTGGTGCAGCTTAATTGGGACTCTTTGAT